AAGTGCTGACCAATATGTAGAATTTCAATTTAAAATTTGCATGCATAGATTCTCACCGGACGAAGAGGGAGGCCCATAGCACTGAGGATAAAACTTGTTTTAGGTCCACTCCACTCAGGCGGATGATGGTATCTACAAGAAGATCCATATTTACAGTCCCCATACTTCATGTAATATTGACATTCTGGTTGTCCGGGCCTTTCTGGAAATGCGTGCTCCTTCTGGCTGCTGCTTGAAGGACCGGAAGCAGAAGCAACAGATAAATATGGTCCCATGTAGGCAGGTGCTGAAGGAGATAGTTGAGAAAGCCCATAAATAGGGCCAGCAGCAGCAGGAGGCTGAGTACTTGGGGAGGGAGCTGGACTAGCAGGTGCCTGTAGCGCATAATTTAAACTCAGTAGAAAGTCAGTGCATCCAAAAAAATGGTATATATCAACAGCTGAAAGAAGCATCTATGGTGTACCTACCGGATAAGGAGTCCAACCTGGTAGAGGAACCATCCCTGGGGGAAGAAGCATAGAACCATAAGTCCCAGGGATATATGAACCAGGAAGTAGAGTAGGTCTTGCAACTGGCCAGTTGCCAGAAACTACCCCGTACTGTTGAGCTGATTGAACAGAAGGAGACTGCACCGTTGGATAAATGTGCGGTGCAGGAACAGCAGCTGGCACAGCCAGAGGTCCAGGTCCAGCTGGTGGTGCTGGCACTTGCGCTCCAGCAGGATGTGGATGATGAAATTTACAAGTGACGCCAAATTTACACTGCCCTGTTTTCACATAATACGAGCATTCCTTTTCACCCTGTGACAGGAACTTTATGAGCCAACTCAGAAGGATTCAACCATACTTAAAACTTTTCAAGCAGTAAGACAAAAGAGAAAGAAAAGAAAATAAAAGGACTGGAACCAAAAGAAAATAAGCTCAGATGAAGACTGATTGAAAATAAAAAGAAGGCAGACCGGACGCAGCGGGTATCCATAAATGTTAACTGTCACTGGTGCTGGAGATCCACCTCCCTGTCTTGGGTGATGGTATTTGCATGAAGCACCAAATTTACACATACCTGTCCTCATATAGTACTGCAAATCAGAATCAGAAACAACTAATTATTGCAGTGAAAAGTGCAGTTTTATATATCAACTTATCCAAAAAAGAAGTCGCCAGAAAAACAGGACAAGTTAACCAGTCACTTTTTGCTGAGCAACTGTTTTCATAGTTAACAATCAACAGGTATATCATATTTCTAAGCAATCGTTTGACAGTGGTTNAGTGGCTGTCATTTGACCACATATTAAGCACTTCTTTCGATGATTTACTAAAAAGTAGGAAGATGAGCTCTCCTTTAACATGGGAGACACATCATATGAAGCTGAATCCACCAAATGCAGTCGACTACACAAAATGTGAAGAAAATAATTTGGTGCTCAATTCCAAAGCTATCTAATCAACAACAAATAGCAATCTTTTCTAAGATATAATTCATAAATTAGCAGATAAAATATGCAAAGGAGAACATCTTCAGCAACAAGCATGAACCAAAGTGGTAAAAATGATTAGTGCATAAAAGAGAAAACAAACTCATGATAGAACACACAAGAGATCCAAAGCGGACGAGAAACAAATGAGCTTTTTTAAAAACCAAATAACTGAAAGGCCAGAACTTCATACATTTTCTTTTGATAAGAAAAATAATTTTATTAATGCTGGGGAAATCCGCCTCTACAGGAAATATACCAAAAGTAGAGAAACCTACACCAAAATATGGTTCTACAAAAGTCACCCACTCATCTATACAAACAACCAGAACTTCATACATAATCAAGAGTTGTAATCAATAGGTAACACAAACAGAAAGTGTCCATGACATAGAATCAAGTACGGAGATTACCATATAAAAGTATCAAGCAAAAAGGATTTTCATGTCAAGGATAGAAAAGCCTCGCTCCTCAGACTAAACAAAGATATGAATCATATGGAGCTGGTATATAGTGGAAGAACATTTTCCAACAGAAGCATTATCGATACTCCAATGATGAGAAGACTAAACCCAGTTACTCAAACTAAATTTTCTGAACAGTCACTGAATTGAACATTGAATTCCAAAATGGAAAAAGAAATGAAAATCAAATCATGATTTACTAGCACAAATAAGCAATGCAGATTATTAAAAAAAAAAAAAAAAAAAAAAAAAAAAGGCAGCCCGGTGCAGGAAGCAACCCGCGTTCACGCAGGGTCCGAAGAAGGGTCGCACCCCAAGTGATGTGATGTAGGCATCCTATCCTAACGCAAGTACCAGTGCCTGATTCTACAGCTCAAACCCGTAACCTAATGCAAGCAATGCAGAACGCAATCCCTAAAATTAAACCTTATAGCTTTATCAGAAGTTCTAAAAGAAAAGGTGATCACCAAGAAAAAATTGTTCCAGCTACAGAGACAACAAAGCAATTTGTAATACAGATAATTCGATCAAGCATGTTTTTGCAACATCAGGAAATGTTTCTTAAAAATGTACCATTATCGTGAACAATAAAAGCACTTGCACAACTAGGACAAAAGACATCATCAATAAAATGATCAACAACGTCAAAATGTGGGAAAAAATTTGGAATCTACATGGAAAATTGAGAGTAGTTCAAAATTGCCGACCCTAGCATGTATGATTTGTAATGTAAAACATTTATCAGATATGGAAATTTTTTAATTCAGTTGAATTCACAAACATGGTAATGGAAAATTTCCAGAATAAGGAACAGAAGGACGAATTCATGTCTAAAAGGAAAAGAAGTCCATGCACTTATCAGACAGCAAAATGACGAATATCATCACAGAGCAGAATCTAGCAAATTGGATCTTTCCAGTATGCATCTGAAAGATAACATGGCAAGTCTAGGAGGATCATAAATGCTACACCAGATTGAAGAGCAACATAAGCTTCCATTTAGCACATCAGAGATCCGAAAGAAGGAAAAGGACGAATCATGATCAACAAAATGGGAGCTCAACCGTAAAGAATCAACAGCAAGCAGATGAAGTGATTGTACTAACCAGATGGAAGCTCACGTAGTACATAATCAACAGCAAGCAGACGAATTGATTGTACTAACAAGATGGGATATCAATGTAGTACAGATTCAACAGCAAGCAGACGAATTGATTAACTAACGAGAGAGCCAAATCCAGAACCCACACATTCCTCCAAAAATTGATCATCATTCAATAGAACACCCAACATTCTAAAACTGATAGCATTGCATGTAACGAAAAAAACTTACCTGGCAAACAGGTTGACCCACTCTTTCTGGGTATTCTCCTCCGGTAGCTCTCATCGCTCCCAAGACCTGTCCTCAGTTCACACAATCAATGCATGTCAAAATTCCCAATCTTGATAACAGATTAAAACCAAAAATTAAAAAAATCCCAAAAGTCGAGCAAAAGAAAGATCTTTTTAACTACCATTGCTAGAGACGGATCCAGGATCTTAAGTTAGTTTACCCCCATAACACCATTGCACCCACTACTTAGTGTCAATATATACTTTTAGGCAATGCTAATCAAGATTTTTAACAACATGCTTCAGAAATGTCCAAAAACAAAAAAAAAAAGATCAAAACTTTAAACATCTAGAATCAAAAATTTGAGACCATCAAATCAGAAGATCAACCCCAAATTGGACACATAAAAATCAATGATCAAGCATATTAACCCTAAAGATTCATTCTTTTACCAAAAAATATAATTAAAAAAACTGTAAATTTACCGAATTACGGTCACGGGGATGATTGAACCGACACCTAGCACCATAACCACAAAAGCCCGTACGCAAGTAATAGATACAATCAGGCTCATTAGGCCTTTCTGGGTACGATTCTGGACCAGTATTCAGTGATAACTGCCACATAGGCTCTGTAAAAAAATATCCCACATTACACAAAATTTAAGTGAAATTCACATGAAATTCAAATGCAGTAAAAAAGTACTTGCCTTCGAGCCCAGTCTCACCGCCGGGAACTGTCCATTCGGAGACCGGATCCACCGGTGCACCAACCTCCATTGATTGGGTCCCACTGTACCTCTCCATTTTATACACAAAAGCTTTACAAAATATAAATAGTAGATGTGTGTGTGTATATATATATATATATATTATATATAATATATATATATATCTATGTACTAACTAAACGTATATAGAAATTTGTGTATTTATATATAAAATCTATGAACAGAGTGAGAAAGAAGACAGTGTGTGTGTGTGAGAGAGGAAGCTANGAGGGAGGGGTTTGGTGGTTTTTAAGAGAGAGAAAAGTAAAGGAAGTTCTTTTTAAGTGTTCTTTTTCTTTCTTTCTTTCTTTTTTCTATTAGCACTTTCTCTCTATATCTCACACTCGTCAGTCACTCTGTGTGTGTGATTTCAGTCTGGTTTTTGGCTTTGGCCAATAGGCTTTTTGTGTATGTATTTCCAGTCTTTCTGTGTGATTTTCTCACACTTAACTCTCGCCACAAAAGGTTGCGGTGGAAAAGTTTCTTAATTAGAGTTTTGGTATTCAAAACTTTTGGTATTAGTTCTTTATCATAAATTAAAAGTTTAAATTTGCGTCCGAAGCATGAAATCACCTTTGATAAAAAGTTACTTTTAGTATGAAGTGATTTTTAAAATTGTTTGATGCGAATTCAAATTAGACAAATCCCTAAAACATTAGAAATACCAATTACGAAACCAAAAAAAAATCTTTTTCTGTCTAAGAGGGATTGGGGGTAGATGGGTAGTAGGATAAGGGGGGTGGGGATAGAGAAAGGGGTTGTCAAAGCTTGTGTGATCTTTCTCTTTGATAGTGAGGGAGAGGGGTTGGAATTTGGAATCAATGGCATTTTATTTATTTTTTTGAAAAGAAAAAAAGAAAGAAGAAAGTTTACAAAAAGAGAGAAAAATCTAACAAACAGTAACAGTACATGACACCATAAGATCACTAAGATTCGAATAATATTGTCGTCTTTTTAACTACATATTGAACTGTTATATATAGGTAGGGATAGTGATGAATGTACAACAAAGTTGGACATACTTACATTTTATTTGACTATGTGTATATATACGTATAAAATACACTTATAATATAATATATTTATATTAATATCAAGCTTATTCTAGTAAATGTAACGAATACATGTCTATAACTCTCTATTCATGCGTATACATATATAAAGATTCTTAATATTATACATTCATATTAACTATATATGTGCGTGTACATATAAAAAACTTTATTATCGAAAATAAATAAAAGTGCAGTAAATATAGATAGTAGTTGTAATTGCATCTACCTAATTAAAATTTTAGATTCATCTTTGGACGGGATGGTTGAATTAGGAAGATCGATCTGTTTTCAATTTAATGCTATTTTTTAAACTTTTGAGGTTAAGTTTTAACATTTTAATTTTTGGTTTTTGTTTTTTTCTATTTTTTTTCATGCGTTTGTTTGTTTGTTTAACTACGCGCCAAACATATACCTAACATGTAAATCTCTCCCTTCATATATGGTTGTTTCACAGTTAATGATCAGTTCACTTCTTATTTACCTTAAATAACATTTTTGCCCTTCAACTTCTTACACGTCATCTTACACAGTGCGAAGATACAACAAAACGCGCCAAATCCTCCTGCATGACAAAAGAATGACGTCTTTTTTTTTTTCCTTTTATTTCATTGTCGTTTCTGCTCTTACTTTTTTTTAATAATAAGTTTTCTGGACACTTGTGTTGCACGTGTATTTGAAGTTAAGTAATTTATTATTTTATAAAATAGTTTCAATTATATTAAATCAATGCTTTGAGTAAATAATTATAAAAAAAAAAAAAAGTAAATTATTTTGGTGAATGATCAATATGAATCATTGTATGATGACTTACTTGTTGGATATCTTCTCAATTTATGAAGAATAATAATAATAATCAAAGTTTAATTAGATATATATTATTCTTTTATTTATTTTGATTTTATGAGATAAAACATGTAATGAAGTATATCTCGTTTTTTTATAAATGATATTCTTGGTGTATATTTTTTTTATCCATTTAGATTGCTTTTTTATAATCATGACTAGGACTTTCGTGTCAAATTTTTTTAGTTAAAGAAGAAATAAGAAATTTAGTAGTATAATTTCAATCCATAAAATAAGATATATAAGTACATAAGATTCTTGGCGTAATATCTTTGTAAATTGAAATTCTAACATTAGAAAAGCCTATGATCGTTTATCATCTTTCAATTTTTTCAAAACTTTCACCGTTATTTTCAGCATTATCTCCCTATAAAGTATATCTATATGAGCATACCTATACATTTAAAATTTTATTAACTTATCTATATCGTACATAGATGAACTTTCTTTTATAAAAACTTGTGTAATTTTAACGTAAGACTTTCTAGGATAAGTAATTTCACTTTACTAACAAGCAAACTACATTTGAAAAACATGAAAATCTTTATCTTTAGTTATAAAATTATCTATTATATTAATTTAGTATATGTCAGTTTATTTTTTAAAATAATGACATGTTTAAATAATATTGATTGTATTTTTAGAATCGTGTGTACTAAATGATTTAGAATTCACATACAATGCGTGTGTCAGAAAAGTTATAATGTGTCTAAATGCAAATATAATTTATTGTCATGGTCTTAAACTTTTAGGTTTGGACATGATCTTTCAAAAAAGACATTCCACTTTGTATCATCCTTTAACTTGAAAATAAACTTCCACGTAATTTTGCATAATACCATAGTATAAGTAAATTGATAGATTTCAACTTAGTAATAATAAGTTAATTATAACATTAACTAATATGTCGATCCTTAATACAACAAATATGTATTTAATATTTTCGAAATCACAAAGTTAGCAAATTAAGATTTTTAGAGGAGTGAGTTTAAGAAAATAGAACCAGAATTTTTTGTCAGTTTCTTTTTGATTTGTTGTTTTGATGCTATGGTCATTCCTGTATTCAAAGTCATGTCTTGCAACGGCAAAACCTTCTAATTTTTTGAAGAGGCACATATATCCCTTCAATTTGCACCCTTTCACATACTTATGAGAAAGTCTAATGTTTTTCCTTCGTGTCTTGGCCATGTGGCAATGATGATGAAGACAATGGATAAGCAGAAGAGAATACAATTTGTTGCATCAACGAAAGCCATGTTTTTTTTTTAATTATTCTAAAGGTTTCTATGGTGAAAGGAGATATAACTCATCATGATTATGTATTAACCTCTCTTCACTTAGTGAAAATAGTATGGGCTAACCAATTTTCGGACTGATAATTAAAAAATAGCTAGCGATTGCGAAGTTATTAAAAAATAGTTATTATTTTGCTCCAACACAGAAAGTTCCAGCATAATATACTGGAGATTGATGCACCTATGTGTGAACTTCCAACATATTATGTTGGAACTCCAGCACACAGAAAGTTCCAGCATAATATACCGGAGATTGGAGCACATGTGTATATGAACTTCCAGCATATTATGCTGGACCAGTATATTATACTGAAAGTCCAGCATATCATGCTATAACTCCAGTATATTATGGTGGAAGTTCACATGTAAAAAATTCGAACTTCAATATATTATGTTGAAATATTTTCTGGGTGTTGTACAGTGTTTTCGTTCAGATTTATTTTTACATGAAAAGTTACTAAATTTCGATTACTTTTGAAACTATGACTATTTTTCAATTACCACTTGTAAATCTGGTTATTTTTGAATTTCGCCCCTTCACTTATTCTTCTCAGTCCAAGGTACATCATAAAAATATTACTCGAACTTGAAGATAAGTTTCGAGTGAAGGGTTGTGACTTTTAGTGTGAAGTACCAAACGTTGTGTTATGGTGCCGGGGGTGTTTTTAGGCATAGTTTTTTTTAGTTAATTAGGGTATTTAGGTTTTAATTAAGAAAGGTAAAATAATAATTTAACTTTTAGACTAAGGGGTTCCTACTTTTAATTTAAGAATGGTAAAATAGTAATTTAACTTTTAGATTAAGGGATTCCTGCTTGTAATGACCTGTCCAAGGAATTGTATTCAAGTATTAATTTGAATTTTACTTGCAGGATTGGAATTGATATGTTTTTGTGAGTTTAACATCTGAAATAGAATGATCATATATTTTTTTCATCATATATCGGTTTAGTTTAAATTACAAAAGTGTTTCTATTTAATAGAAACTGTGATCTAAAATCTTTAAGTTGAGTCAAATCAATATAATTAACGATTCAGTAGTTGAAAATTAGCCTTCACGATACAATTGAAGGAGGCTGGTAAGCTTTTTAATTAAAACGTGAAAATCAGTTGCTACTTTTGAAAGAATAAACTTTTCCCCTGCAAAAGTTTGTCATTATACCAAACAACAATTTTGTACTTTGTCCCTTTTATGCATCTTATATACAAAAGATATTCTGGACTTTAGGAACATAATGCCACCCTATTTTTTTCGTTGTTTAGCTAAATTCCTTTCCCATTGCAATTTCTTGTTGATGTCATCTCTCATTGTTGTTTCCAGCTAATTCAAACTATAGTGTTTTAGGATCGAATTTACTGGACTATTAAATGTAGTTATTTAATTTTAATTTACATCTGCTAGACATTTTAATACTGTATCATTTATAGATTGTTGTTTCCAGCTAATTCAAACTATAGTGTTTTAGGATCAAATTTATTGGACTATTAAATGTAGTTATTTAATTTCAATTTACATTGGCTGGCCATTTTAAAATCGTTTATAAATTTAGAGAAAACAATAAAGAGACAATTCTTAAGCAAACTTCGGTTGCGATTTATGCTAGAGAAATAAAAATTTCATATAGTCGTTGTACCATTTGCTTTAATGAATGTACTTTCCTCTAGCATTTTAAAAACTGGCTTCTTTTCTCCTTTGCCATATAAGATAAGATTAATTAGTAGGTATAGTATTGTTTAAAGACAGAGTTACTGATAGAGGGAATATGCCTTTTCTTTAACGAGGTATCTTTGCTCAAAATAGAAAAGACTACGCGTAAAAAGAGTTCAAATATACTCATTTTGTTTGTTTCTTAAATCCGTTAACTATTATTGCTTTTGTTCATGCGTGTCCGTTATTGCCATAAAGTGATAAATTATATTGCAATCTTTTTGTGATCAATGTTTTTTTTTTTTTTTTTTGCAATTTATTTATTTTTCAAATTTTGCATTATATAGGATAAAATATACTATGCTAAGTGGTTGCATAAGAAAGTGACA